TATTCATCACAATAAACTAGAAAAAAAAATACAACCACTCACGTATTTGTTCGGACAAAATGTTGGGGGAAAAATATCAATAGAGATTTTATAAACATGGTCTCCTTAATCTCTTTCTAATTAATATATAAATATAAATATCAATCAATATATCAAGTCATATGTCACCACATGTCTATTATATAACACAATTTATGGTAAGTCAAGCTATTTACAATTTATAAATAATAAAATTTGTCGTGTAGACTTAAGCTAACACCAAGGTGAAAAATGGCAAGATAATAAACAATTGCAAATAAAGCGGTGGTTGAAGAGTGTCTTTAAGCCAAGGCATGTGACAAGATTCTTAAAATAGTTCATCGTCAAGCTTTTTTCTTTTTTTACCCTAATTTTTATAAACAGGATAGTTTTATGAAAATTCGATTAAAATAAACTGGCAGAGCAGGTTATTTTCGACAAGTATCGCGCAACTACGCCGACGTCATTTTGCTTCCTCATGAATATAAAAAGACTAGTGGGAGTATATGTCAACCTTCGCCTAATTAAAGAAAGATGACTGCCAATTCCATGAATCTGCACGCTACCTTGTTTTTTTTTTTTTTTTGGAATAGAGTATTCCGTGTCTATGAAGATCATGGAATCTATTCTCCCCAAAGAAAAATATATATTTGCTAAAAATTTAAGCGACAACTATGCTCTCGATCTTATCAACAGATGTGTAAAAGCAATTAATGACGTTGAACTTGAAAATTTCTGAGTTTCCGTTCCCATCTGATCATATTTGCACTAAACAATAGCTTCAATGTTAAATAATAATCTCAAGACAGGGCACAGGGACAGGGGAGAGGGCATAAGATGAAAAGAAAAAGGTCAACAAATCAATTTGACATTTCAATTTGTTGACATTTCAACACAGTGGGGGGTCTGTTACAATTTACAAATCAGTAGATAAACAGAAGACACAACCTGCAGTGACAAATAGCACAGGGGAAGTAGGATCCCCCACAAGGTTTAAAAGACACCAATGGAGGTGGGATACAGAGGCCTGGGCTTGTAAGACAGACAGTTGGGAATATAAGAAGAGGCTCGCTTCTTAGGAGGTTCCATAGAAGCTATGGCTGGTTGGTTCAAATACGCGTAATTGCTTTTTGTCCACCTGCACACCTCAAAGCATGCCCTGTTACCATTCTTCCCCAAAAATATAAATTGCTATAGGTTGAAGAAAGCATACGTCCCACACGGTCCCACCTTTATTCATCAACTAAAATCCAATCATATGCAAATTGAAGCATGGGGAATCTAAGGGACAAAAACAATTCTTTTTATTTTTATCCCCTCCCAACAGTGAACTCGAGCTAGTGTATAGTTTGGAAAGCAGGGGAGGTTTTATGCTTCCATGAATTGAAAAAATGCAGAGTTGCTCTGGGATCACACATGGCAACGGATAATATTTTACTAAAAAGTCATGAAAGAGTGGGCTTTACTAACCAGTCCTTTATTCCCACGCGCACTTCCTTGTCCATGGAATCATTTTTGCTTTTCTTCTCAAGACCATCGTCCTCAGCTCTCTCGTTCTCCAACGACTCTTGGAAGCTCAGGTAGTCTTGCTCCTGTATTCCAATTTTCATCGAACAGACTTAGTCCCACCACACATAGATAGGGATGTGGAAGAGGAAGAATCATGGATAGAATAAAATGATCAGTTCAACTAAACATCATGAAAATTATCACATACTAAGTAGTGGAAAGAACAACAGAGAAGGGAAAAAAATAAAAAAGAAAAAGATGGAGGGGGTGATGGAACCGTCAGATTGCGTGCTCGGAGTTTAGCGGCCGCTTTAATAGCTGCAAGGAGGTGGTCTTCTTCCTCGATCCGCTTCTGCCTCCAGAACTTGGCAATCTCTCTCTTCGTAACGCTCTCTTCTGCTCTGGGCCTTCTTGAAAACACTGGGAATTTCGGAAGTGGCGGCGGAGGAGGAGGCGGTGGTCTTGGAACAACAACAACCTCCTTCGTCTTTGATTCAACACAGTCGCTTTCTTGCTTTCTTTGCTTCATTCTCTAACACCAACGACGCACGTTATACACTTCGTTGCAACTTTATATCAAGAAAGGATGGCATGTACGGGCATTAATTGCTTCAGAATCCACTCGACCTTGAGCTACCCATCCGACCTACCTTTCCTTCTCTCACTTCCCTCTCTTATACCCGATATTGGACTTAAACTTGACAATTGGAATCTCTAGGTCAACCACAGCATTGTGGCGCGTGAAGGGCAAAAACAACCCCCGAGGAAAAAGAAAAGAAAAGATAATTGACTGATTGTTGTTGCTGATTCTAAGAAAAGTGGCCACTGGTGGTGGATGAACTTCATGCCGCCCTTTTAATCGTGGACCTTCAATGACAAGCAACTTGTGATTAGGATAATGTTCATGCTTACATGGTACAATAATAATAATATATGTCATCTCATTCGTCCTTTCTGGCCCAGCCCTTCAATTTTTATTCAAGGAGTGCGCTATGGGTTTGTAGATGAAGGAAAAGTCATAATATTCCAACAATCAAAAGAGCTCCTCCTAGGCCTTCCCCGGAGGAAAAACCAGAGCCGCCCAATATTAAACAGATGATGATGATTGCGTCGCCTTTACGATTCATTGGAGAAGATTAGGTAGAGATGTTTATATATTCTGAGATGAATAGATTGTATGCACATCATACTCCAATAGGTATCATCTAGCCAATTTGCTGATTAAAAAACAAAATGAGGAAAACAAGAACGACAAGTTTGGGACTGGTCTGCAAGGCCAAAGTCCATATAAAGATACGCTTACCATCACCAATTCAGAATTAACATAATTTCTCTGAAATTTCCCGAAAATGAATTTCAAGTGCTTGTTAGATACTTTAGTTTTTAAAGAAAGTGGACCAGCCTTTACATGTAGCTATGTTTGGATTACATTTTAAAAGCACATTCCACTACCAATTTCTCAATCTCATAAAAGTTACCTCGACTTCAGTGTCAGATCTAAAAAAATTAAAATACATATCGATAACGGTACATCCACATAGGAGGAGGGTGGGGGAGGGGAGTTCACAAAAAAGACAGGTATTGTATGCTCTGTAATCTGTATATGTCCCTGACGCCAATCAGGGAGTCCAGGGCATTTATGATGCATTTGCAAGTGAAGAGAGCCCAGAGTGACATGAAAGTTGAAATCATCCCATGATATGATGATTGGTGAGAGCAAAATGCCATGGTATCTTGCAATCCTGCGCCTGCCGGTCAGTCAAGAATCAGAAAAGGATACCGGTCACTCTTTTTTATTTATTATTAAAAAAATTTCAACAAGCGTCTTAAAATAATTTACTCTAAGATAGTGAGCGCTATTAAAAAACCATTTAAGACGGTGGGTGCGCAGAAAAATAGTTTTGATTTTTGAATACGAAATGCCACTGACCGAGTAGGGCGTTGATGCTAGTTATTCGTTCCAAAAATATGGACATTATTTGATGCATTACTATATCCAAGAACAAAAACGTTAGAAATGACATTGTTTTGCCAAATTGACATTAATGACAACCCGAAAAAATGGAGGATCCCCTACTTTGGAAAAGGGCAGGGTTCCCTCCAGCGCCAAATGCAGTAGCATGCCCAGACACTGACGCGTGTAACGCGTTCCTGGGACGAACGGGCAAGCTGAGCTTCAGTGAATCGTCCACTGCCTCAAATCCTGCCGCGCCCAAACCCTCAACTTGCTCACCAGTCGCCAGAGAGGACCACACGAGCCATCCTTTTTTTGTGATCGCGTCTGTGAAACTCGGTCGACATAACTTTATGTGCAGAGAAGGCTTCTTACTCTGCATGATTCTGATTCCATCTATAACTTGAAACACTCTTCTTATTCTAGACTGGTGGATTTACATTGATTTAGTTTTTTGTTCTAATTTTTGCCAGGAGATTTATATAGCACTTTCCTCTACTCGGAAAAGAAAACAGAGAAGGAGGTGCCCCCATTCCGGGGTGGGCGAAACCTGTATGCCCTATGAAGTCTTGTTTGCCGGGGCGGGCATTGCAAAACCACGCCTCACAGTCTCACACACCAACACAAAAACTTGGTGGTTCCGTACTATAAAATTTAAATAATACTACGATTTATATAAATCGTATATTATATATGTAGATATATAAATTCTTCTGACAAAGGAAACCGGTTCATTCTGCAGAGAAGTATCACTTGTGGAAATTTAACATTCGGAACATGAAATGAAGGTTGAGTCCTGAATCTTCATACAGAAAGATTTCTCTTAGAATAATGCGTCTGAACTTGCGGCAATTTCTCAAAGAAAAACAGTTCAGCTCGGTAATCCACACCTCGTATTAACCATCTGAAGGCCGTATCCAGAACAGGTGGATATACCTACCTGATGGAACCTGCTCTTTAAAATTCCCATCTTCGAAGTAATGTGAAATGGTTCTCTGCCTAAGATTTTTTTTGGGGGGGAGGGGGGATAATAAACAAACAAATTCTGGTTTTCTTTAAAGCTGTGATTGCGATTCCCATTTCCAAAGAGAATACTGTCAGCCCCCATACTCGTGAATAATCAATCCGTTTCTTCCTCTATGTCTCAACCAACAGTTTCCTTCGGGGCATAATCTTTCAACCAACAGTCAAGAGAAGCAAAATAATCGAGGATGAAATCATGACATAACCAATATAAATATAAGCTCCTCAAACTTCTCTGCTTCAGTTCGTAAAGTTTCTAGGTGCATCAGACAGATTCCAAAATGAATTCTTGAAATCGTCATAAATTGTTCATTAAAGGAGGATGCGATCATTCAGAAAGTGAAGCCAGGAATCCTCGGCGTACAAGTCACAAAATTTACGAGGCTAATTCTTGATAGCCAGCTGTCCGAAACATAACAACTAAAATTAGAAGCAGCAGAAATCAGTAAGAATTTTTTTTTTGTTGGTCTAAATAACATCATTAAGAAAACAGAAATCAGCAAGAATTAAGAACATATTTATTCGGAGGAAAACAGCAAACCATCACCCATATGACTCAAGATGCAAGAACAACTGAAAATTTGTACAATGGAAATGCAAAACTGCCCCACACATATAGGCTGATAGAAAGTTGAAATCATATTATCCAAAACGGGAAACCCGTCTTCGTCTCAAGTTTGAGATGTAATTCGAAGGGCTTTGGTCTTGAAACGATATCTGGGGGCTCTGGGAATCACCTGGCTGGGTCCCATGTGAAATTGGCCGGGACTATCGGTAAGAGGAGGGCCATCGTCATAGACATAACCAACTAAACAGCCACAGCTATTGCACTTGATCTTGGTCCTCTTCCTCTGGATTCCCCAATAATTAACAGTCTCGAAGAAGGGTCTGATCTTGTCCTCCTTCTCGAATCTGAACTTGGTGGTGTCGACCATGGCAAAGGAGGTCGTGCCCTTGTTTCCGGCCTCAAAGTAGAAATCGGGCGGAAATAGGTGAGCAGAGTTGAGATTCAGGTTGGATCCGCATTCCGTACAACTGTAGACGGAAGCCATCGACGAGATTTTTCCGGAAGCGGGGAACAAAAACACAAAAAAGGGAAATAGGCTTTACGTGGAAGTCTAGTGATTAATCGGCCCAATAGAAAAATAACGTCGGGTCGTCCTAAGCCAGACTTGTCAAAACCGCGTCGTTGCGGACCTTTGCCTATGCTTCTGCCGCAGCGAAGGCAGATGTTGTCAAAGATCTTCTAGAAATTACGATCACGTCTGGCATTAAATTCAGGCCCAAACAAATTTCTGTGAAAAAATAAAAATTTGAGTTAAGAGCTATATTAAAAAAAAAAAAAAAAAGGATTGTGCATCGTTGTCATGGGACTGGCCGATGAATCTCATCAATTCTTTTTTTTTTTTTTTGACCGGAATCATCAATTCTTTTTTGCAATATTGAATTCTATGCTTTGGTATTCTAATTAATTTCTGTGTATAATTTATGCCGCAATGACTGGGTGCTGGAAGACCCGTTAGTTGGTCGATCTATCAACCTTGCGTTTGTTAGGATCTAATTCAACAACACGCGACCTCATGCGCTCATTGAAAAATAGAAAGGAAAACAAAAGTTCAATTCAAACCGATACATGCTTGCGTGTTCAGTTGATGTTAGCTTGACGTGGCATATTGACTCCCCTGGCACATACCTCAGAAATACTACTTCCGGGCCTAATTATAAGAGCCAGTTGACTAATTTGAGGAAATTAAAAAAAAAGCTAAATTAGTTATTTGTAATAAATAGGTATTGTCTTTTTAAAATATCCTTACTAATCAAATATATTGACTAAAACTATAATTATTAGAAGGACTATTTTAGAAAAATTAAGTAAATATCAGAGATAAAATGGATTGGGATCTTATATTTAGGACCAATATAAAAGTCAAATGAGATCTTATATTAAGGACCGAAGTAGTAAGATAGAAAAGGTCCCCCAGACGGCAACGAGAAGGGGATATAAATTAAGTGCATTCGATGATTTTTAGGTTGTGATTGGGAGTCATAATGGACAGCATATGACTCTATAATCATGTACAGTAGCACTCTGTCTGTAATTAGGAAAATTAATTATGATATACTTTCAATACTCCCTCCGTTCCTTATTATAAGACGAATAACCGAATTACGTTGATCAAAAAAAACAGTTAAATTAGTTAAGAACAATTAATGTGTAAAAAGTATAATTTTTTTTTCCAAAAATCCCTCATAATGAGAGAAAGCATGAGAGAGAACAATAGTAAATTCTTAAAAGAAAGAGAAGTGAGAAGGAGAGAGAATTAGTTTGGAGACAATAAATATGGGTAAAATAGAAAATCAATATAAAAAAGAGAGACAACTTTTAAGTGTCTTTTATATTAGGAACATGCTATAAGCATCAAATGTCTCTTATAATAAGGAACGGAGGGAGTACTTAATATAAAATTAGTTAATTAATTTGATAATAAGAGTTAGTTGACTAATAATGCATAATACTATTTCCGATTTTTAATACTCCCTCCGTTCCTTTTATAAGATACAATTAACTAAATCACATTATTCAAAAAATTAGTTAAAATTAGTTAGGTGCAATAAATATGTAAATGGTGTAACATTTTTGCCAACAATACCCTCATTTATGTGAAAAAAAAATAATGGGTGGGAGAGAGAACGAATGGGAATTAAATACAATTATATGAGTAATATGAGTAATTAAATAGGGGTAAAATAGGAAATCAACACACAAAATTTGAGACAACCTATAAGTGTCTCTTATAATAAGGAACATGATATACTTTGCAATTGTCTCTTATAATAAGGAACAGAGGGAGTATAAGATTTAGTTGACTAATTTAAGTATATTAAGAAAGTTAGCTATTTGTAATAAATAGGTGTTGTTTTTTTCATAATACCCTTACTCATCATATATATTAGCAAGAACTATTATTTAATAAAATATTTAACATGTGCAATTTATATAAGAATTATTTTGAAAAAAAATAGATAAACACAAAAAAACAAAATAAATTGAGATTTTATATTTAAAATCAAATTAAACGTCAAACTAATTATTATATTAAAGAATCAAAATAATATTAGTTAGAATTATTATTTGATATAATATTTAAAATGTATAACTGTCATGAGCATTACTTAAAAACCAATGAATAGATATGAAAGGATGATTGTGTGCATGCATGTCGGTGCTCTCTCGGTCTCGTTATCTCTCCGGTCCTTTGGCGTGGTTCTCTTTTCCCCTCCGCTAGCGGCTTCCGCCGCAAGTCGTCTTTGATTTTTTCCCCCCAAAAATCTGACGGGAATTTTTAAATTGAGGGCATGATGGTCTTTTAAATCTTAAAACTTTGTTTTTTTTTTTCCAAATAAAACTTTGACCTCGCTATTTGTCGAGATTTAATTGATTTATTTCAAGTATGTCAATTAAATATTAAAATGAAAATTATATATTTCCATTCTCTTGCCCGTTTTTATTCGCATTTTTCTCTTTCCCATCTCATCTTCATGGCAAGGAAGCTCGTAGTCACCCCTCTTTTTGGTTGCGTTAACACCACCAAGAAATTAGCAGCACAACCAGAAATTCAAACCATTAATTGGTCTTTTCTTAGATGCATTTACTCACAGCTGCGAATTTCATGGTTCCAGTCCACATTATTGCCGTGCTTAGCTTTTATATATCTAGATATTAATTTCATCAGCACGTCGCAGTGTCCGATCTAGTATCAGCGCACTCAAAGAGGGGCAGTCTAATCTTGCCACGTGCCCTCAAATTCATGAGATTTTAGACTTCGAATTTCAGACGGAACCAACGGATGGCAGGTCGTATTGTGCTCTTATATATGAAGTAAATATTTGATCCCGACAAAATTAGAAAACACTTCCTTTATTCCATCCATAATATGAGAAATACAATCCTCTAGCAGGAAATTTTGTCCAAATTATAAAAAGTTGACAAAGTAATTAATAACAATGTTTTAATTTTATATTATGTTATAACTATGTGGGAGAGAGAGTTTTAAATATAGAAGAGAGAATATATAATTTTTTAATCACATTCTTTAATACTCTCCTCCACTCCTTAATATAAGATTAATTTTGAGTTGGTTTTGGTCTTAAATATAAGACTCATTTCTCATATTTATCAATTTTCTCTAAATTACCCCTGTGAATACTCCTTCAACCATAATCTAGTAGAAGAAGGAGAGGGGATATTAAGGAAGATGATTATAGTGTTTTAGGAAAAATGTGTCACTTTTCTTATAATTAACTAACTTACCTAACTTCTTTAAACTAATCAAATTAGTTAAATGGGTCTTATATTAAGAACCGGAAGAGCAAATTAAAGATAAAATAGGTAATTTTTTCATTTAAAACATATTTAATAACTTGGCAAACTTTTTTTTAATCTGTAAAAAAAATTAATTAACATCTTATATTACTTCGATCCCAATTATAAGACTTTTTTTTTTACCAGCACGTAAGACCTTATTTATAATATTATAAATTAGAGTGAATATTTATAAGGACAAAAATGCCGTCACCTCACAAAAATGCCGTCACCTCAATAACCGCTGTAGTAGGTCCCATCCCCGTGGACATCCGAGCTCCAAATATTAATTTATTGTGCCGGCAAGGGGTGCGCACCACTCCCCACCCCATGATCAATGTCAACCATATTCTTGTTTAATCGCTCCCTATTCCTTTTCTTAAGATATTAATACGTAATTATCTTGGTACTTCTTGCTTCTCCAAAGTTAAAAGACTCCATGTATATTGTTTTGTAGGGTAGCGCGTGGACCATTAATTCCAACGCCAAACAAATCAATTAATTGCTTCCATTTCAATGGAAAGCTTGCTGAGCTGAAGAGCAAGTTCTTGAAGTTTCTGCCACGACAACCAGTGGCTTCAATTCAGAAACCAAATCTGAGTCCCAGCCGGAGTGTCGCCGGAAACCGGAGCCCAAGCCGCAACGTCTCCATAGTTCCAAAAGAAGCTCGAAGAAAGCTCAGAAGCTCGAGCTTCAGTGCACGAGAGCCGTCATCGCCCAAGGTCTCGTGCATGGGTGAGGTTGAGCAGCTCGTGAAGAAGAAGAAGAAGAAGAGAAAGGCTCGAAAGCATCAGAGTACTGAAAAAGCTGTTAAGAAGGAGAAGACGTTGCTTTGGATTTTCAAGGGAAGTGGTGATCACCAGTGTGAGACCAGTGAAAGGAAAAGTGGGAAAGCTCTTGATTTGGAGTTGGCAGAGAAAGACAAGGCCCAGAACGTCCCTTCGCTGGGTACGATGAAGAAATTTGCGAGCGGTAGAGGAGCCTTATCTGATTTTGACATTAAACTTTCACAACTGTCAGCCGGGTGACTTTGATTTCTTCTTGCAGGCACATGTGTGTCCTGTAATTAACGTTCATGTTGAATCACTTTTGGATTCAATAACTCTTCGGATATTGTAGGATGCGTGGTTTAATTTTCTTCACAGAAATATGTACAGATTATGGATAAGAGTATATTATATCTTTAATATAAAAGTTAGTTAGATATTTAATTTGGTTTTAAATATAAAATTTTAATTTACCTTGTCTTCAATACTATTTATTTGTTTTGCCTTAAACTAATTTCTATGATGGTAGCACGTGTTATTGAGTTACTATTAAGGCACAATTCAAATTATACATAATTAATAAAGACATTTTAGGAAATACAATATTTGTTTATTATAAATAAATAATATAATTAATTTTCTTAATATTATAAATTAATTATTTAATTTTTACATTAAAAAGAAGAGCTTGTACAAATCCATCACATTAGCAGTCTTTTAGTCCTACTTGCATATGGTAGAGAAACTGTATATATATATATATATATATATATATTCTTTTAGTTTTATTTATAAGTTACTTTCATGTGTTTTATATATATTAAGAAAAATTTTAAACTTCATTGACTTTTATTTAAAATTTAACTTTTGAACTTTATTTGTATTTAATATATATTATACCTCATAAAAAAAAGTCAACATAGTAATAATAAATGGTAAAATTATATACATTCATATGAAAAATTTCTCTCCGTCTTGTAAATAAAATCAAAAACTTTTTTGTCTCTCTGCCTAGTACCAGATGAGTGTGTGTGTGTATCATTTTCTCTTATTAATTT